TCCCTACCTCTCCTCTCTAATGCTCCCAGTCGCCCAGAGGGGTTCTCTGCTGTAATGCCTGCCTTTTATCCATGCTACATAGTAGATATCAGCAAAGTGCTTGCTCCCCACCACATGGGGATGCCTTGGTGCAGCCATCAGGGAAATGTGCACCTAATATTCTGACCCACAGCACGTTCTCTGTGAGTATTTACTAAAAGTAAGTTTAACTCAGTCTGTCTACAGGCTCAGATTATATATAGTTCTAGGAATAGTAGATATGTGCTTAGGTCTCTACCTAATATCCCTGAGTCCTTATAAAATCCACAAGACATATAAATTATGACACTCATTTTAGGCATAAAAGAAACTCACAGAAATTAAGTAACTTATTTGAGGTCACACAGATGTTACATGTTTGAGTAAGGATTTGAAATAGTGTCTCTTTGAGATAATTTTTGCTCCTTCACATCACTACCACAGTCTCTCAAGAAAGCTCAGAAAACAGTGAAGGTCACACACTCCAACCATACAAAGGAGGCCCAGGCCTTTCCTCTTGTCACCCCATCCCTAAGCCAGGAGCTCTGAGCTGAGGCAGTAACCCACGTCAGACACACAGGGCTCCACGGCAGGTGTGAGCCCTGTGGTGCGGGGGCAACGGGTGCCCAAGTTCTACTGCTTCATCCTGTAGCTTGACTGCCTCTCTCAGGAGGACATACAAAGCCAAGGCCCTTGGACCTTGCTTCACTCTAGACCTCAAGGGAGTGGGGCCCCCCAAGTCTTCCTATACAGGAGGGGTGGTAAGTTCAGTATGATTGGCTTGGGAGTCTCTTAGCTGAAGCCATGAGGCCCCACGGAGGGTGAGTCACAAGGAAATGAAGCATAGAAAAGACTCCTTTAGGCAGATGCAGTCGTAGGCTCTAGAAAACAGGGTAAAATAAGCTTCTGGAGTTGTTTCAGGGCCTCCATGAGCTCAGACCAGTAGGAACATAGACTGAAATTTGGGTTAGATACTCTACCACAGAGATTCTCAATGGGGGCAACTTTGCCTCCCAGGAGATATTTGTCAATGTCCAGAGACTTTTTGTTTGTCATAATGATGTGGGTGGTGGGGGAAAGGTTTCTATTAGCTCCCAGCAAATAGAGGCCAGGGATGGTGCTAAACATCATACGGTACATAGGACTGCCCCTACCTCCTCCACAGCAAATCATTTAGCACCAAACACCAAGAGTGTTGCAGTTGGGAAACCCTGTTCTAGAAGACATAGAATGTGTGCATTTGCCTTTTGTGTCCCTTATTCTATTCCTTGGACTCAAAGCAAATGATCTGTGGGGCTTCAGGTGAAATATGAAGAAGAACATGGCTGTGTCCAGCAAGGTTTCTATCTTATGCATACATCATGATTATCTGACATAGGACAGGACTCATAAGACAGGGCAGTGACTACCAACCCCTTAGCAAGAGATGGAGCACCTCTTTCACAGAAAAACATTCAGATACTTGCATTATAGTCATTGCATATTGTTCATTGATACTATATCTGTGGTAACCAAAACTTAGAACCTGAGCAAAGCTCTTAAATGAATTTATTTTTTACTTATCACAACAGCATTGTTCTATGTGAAAAAGAATCCTGCATATATTGATCATTGGTACATTGTGCAAAAATCAGATGAGCCTTGCAAATCACCACTAGGATAGTTTGCAAGGTAGATACAGTGATTAATATGGTTTTCTTCTCATCTAAGATGGTCTGGATTAACTTTGGTATTATGACTTAAGAATAAACAATGTCAATAAGGAGTAAATTCAATAAGAAATAGTACATAGGTATGGAAAGCTGAGAATCCTTTTTGATGACGGCATTATCTGCAAGTTCCCAACCAAGAACAGCTGTAACAGTAAATGAGGCTAGAGGCATGGAAACCAGGCCTCAGCAACAGTGAGAGGCTGAGCATGAGCTGACCATCCTGATATAGTTTCCACAGGCCATATGTGAGGAATACTTGCTGTGGCCATCATAAATCAGGTTAGGTAGAGTTCATTTTCTCTGCCATGGCCTCTGACCTAACCCTTCTCTCCTAAACCAAATTTGTCCCCAATAAAGTTATTTTTGTCACTGAAGTGATTATCACTGCATTTGACTCTTTCATCTTTTTCTCATATACCTAAATCTTACATCTTTCCCCTCCAGCCTTACCCATAGCTGACCTCAGGGCAGGAGTGAGGCCTTCTCCAGCTGTTCCTCCAGATGACTGTGCTGAACTTGGTTATACAGGACAAGCTTAATCAGCTTCCTCCACCCCTCTCCAGTCTCTGTGTGCGACAGGCCTTTGCAGTACCACATTATAACACCTTTGAACTTTATGATCTCTAGCTTGATAATTGTGCAAGTCAAACAACAAAAAAATAACCTCTGGCTCTGACAACCTGTAGGGTCTCCAGGTTGCTCATTATTTTTGTCTCCTGTCTATAAGTACAGAAGGCCCACGGAGTTAAGATAATGTCCACTCTGTTGTATGCTCTTGTTGGGTGATATGTTCTAATTTTCAACCCACAGACTCAAATATGCAAAAATATAACTTTATTTTATATAGCCATTATTAATTTATCTTTCAAGCTTCCATTTATGTCTGATGCAGAAATTGAATCCAGTTGCCTCCTTATGAACTCAGTGAAATGTAGTGATTTCTCAGTCATTTAAAGTTTAGTAGCTATTCACATTCAAGATTATCTCCTTCTTGAATAAAACAGCAGTAGACTCACAGACAGTGAGAAGGGGCTGGTTGTTACCATGTGGGAGGGATTGCAGGGGTGAAAAGGGAGAGTGAGGGGGATAAAGGGGCACAAAAATTCTCAATCATAATGTAAATTGGTCATGGGGATGGTAGTACAGCATGGAGAATGTAGCCAATGATTCTGTAACATCTTCCTATGCTGACAGACAGTAACTACACTAGTGAGGGTGAGGATTTAATAATATGGGTAACTGTTGAACAACTGGCTGTATACTTGAAACAAAATAAGACTGTATATCAATTTTAAAACTTTAAAAATTAAAGAAAAAAAGATTATCCCCTCCTTGTCTCTTAGGTGGTCAATGTTATGTCCTGGGGTCTGATCCTAAAGTAACTGTGGTGTTGATGACCAGGGGCATCTACTTCTCAACAGTGATTGACCATTATTTTTGTCCATTTAGTTTGTTAAGAACTCCAAAACTGTATAAAAGTCTTTCACAATTCTTATACATTTGCTCATTCCCTTGTTATTTTCTACAGCATTTTATGCTATGGAAACTTTAGAATTTAAGGTTCATGGTCATATCTTCTTTGTGGCTGGTAGACACCATTATGGATTGTACACTTGCAAATCTGAGAATACTATTCATTCAATCAGCAAATATTTATTGACCATTTGTTACATGCTTGACCACTGTGCTGGATTTTTTGTCTAATTTTTTTGCCTTCAATTCTATTTTGATTGACAATTTTACCTTGACAACTGCTTTTCCTTTGCATGCATTCTGTAGTTGAGATCTTTAAACAGTTAAAAGAAACCTTCAACTTTCATGAGTCACTTTGTTTGACATCTTTATTTTGTTTCTAGCATGAAGCTTCAATAACCCAGTCATAAAGATTTTCCTTTTAGTTGATGAATTTATATTCCCATCATTGTTATAATATATGCTTATTGAATTTTTCTATGATGTTATCACTTTTAAAAAGCTTTCTTTTTTTTCTTTTTACTGTTGTTTTTGTGCTCTCTTGGTGCTATTTTGCTTTCTTTCTTTTGTTTGTGGCAACGTCATGCCATCCTTACACTTATGAAGAACATTAGATACCAGATGACAATACATAATATATACAGAGGGAAAAAGATGGGGCCCCAAATTCCTATAGTAAGGCACGTTTTCATTCATACATAGGACAAAATAAAGAGATTTCAGATATGCAAGTTCTTGGACTACTTCATCATACCCATTTCTTTAAAAAAATCTAGGTAAGTGCACATTACAAAAAAATAAAAGTGAATGAAATAAAGAATCACGAATAATGGTGGGTTACATTCAGATAGTGACTATTAGTGTTCAAGTGCTTTTTGTACCATTTCATCTAATCCTCTGAATGACAACATAATGCAGATATTAATATTATCCCAAGTTTACATATAGGAAATCAGGATGCAGAAAAGGTAAGCAGTTTGTCAGGGTCATAAAGCTTACATAAGCAGAACCAGGGTATGAACACAGGTTCTAAAGAATGTGTGTCTAACCACTGTGCTCGACTGTGGCAAAAGGGAAGTAAAAATGGGAAAGGGTGCTGTGAAAGGGATGCCAGTGAATATGAAATAAAATTTGAACATAGAATGAAACCTAAATAGCTATAGTTTATGACTATGTTCCAGAATTTAATTGATTGAGAAATCACATAATGTAAAGGTAATAATTTATTGGTACTCTCCAGGAACAAAAATCCAAGAATGTGAAACAAATAAAAAGAAAGAAAGGGTGGAAGAAGAGTGGATAGAAGTGGAAGAGGGAGAGGGAGATTGTTAAAGGAAAATAAATTTGTACTCTTTCATGGCAGGTGTCAAAATATTTTGTTTTTAAATTTGAAACTCATAAATACTTTAAGACTTGTTTGAAGTTATAAAGTAGAAACAAAAAATATCTAAATATTATGTAAGATAATAAGTTGGATAAAATCTTTAACAAGTAAATCAATAAGACAAAAAATAATACAGGTGACAATGAGATACATTAATGATTAATTCAGGAGATAAAATGTCTAACTCTGAGTTCTAGAAAGGAAGTGGTGGTGTTGGTGTGAGGGAGTAGAAATGAGATTAGATCTCTATATCTACAGATATTAACTAGATAAAATTTATGTTTTACTTTTCATTGTCAATAAAGCCAGGGAGATGGTGGTACAGGGACCCTTCAAGTCCATGGTACAGAATTCTGCCTTAAGCTCAAGCACCTGGCAACACAAACTCCTATCCTACTATTCTATGTCCTTCACTACCTCAAATGTTGCAGAAATTTCCCTAACGTCCTTCTTACAGCTGCCTTCACCTCCGTGTTCTTCAGGCTGTAGATGAGGGGATTCAGCATGGGTGTGACCGTACTGTACTGCAGAGAGGAGAGTAAATCCAGGGAGGAACCAGAGGAAGGCATGAGATAGCGGATCAAACCTGAGCCAAAAAACAGGATCACTGCAATGAGGTGGGAGGAGCAGGTGGAGAAGGTCTTGACCCTGCCTGTGGTGGAGCTGATGCTCAGGATGGTGGACACAATGCGGGCATATGAGAAGAAGATTGGGAGGAAGGTTCCAAATCCATGCAGTAAGATGGAGCAAATCAAGATCTCAACATTAATAGAAATGTCAGAGCAAGACAGAGGGAAGAGGGAGGGCAGCTCACAGGTGTAGTGGTGGATGGTGTGGGCATCACAGAAGTCCAGGTTAACAGCCAAGAGCACAATGACAACTGAATTGAGAGAGGCCAGACCCCACGATGCAAGCACCAGGCTCACACAGAGCTGGTTGCTCATCACCTGGCCGTAGAGCAGTGGATGGCAGATGGCAGCATAGCGGTCATAGGCCATCACTGAGAGCAGAAAGGCTTCAGTCCCTGCAGTAATAAATACAAAGAAGACCTGGGCCAGGCAGCCCTCCACTGAGATGGTTTTCTTCTCTGACAGCAGGTCCTTCAGCAGCTTTGGCACAGTGACAGAGGAGAAGCAGAGGTCCAGGAATGACAGATTGCTCAGGAAGAAGTACATGGGCGTGTGGAGGCGGGAATCAGCCCTGATCAGCAGCAGCAGCGTCAGGTTCCCCATCAGGGTCAGGAGGTAAATCCCCATGAAGAGCACAAAGAGAAGGGCCTGGATGTGGGGGTCATCAGACAGCCCCGTGAGAACAAACTCGGAGACGGTGCTGTGGTTCCTCAAGGCCATTCATGAGGATGCTTCCCTGGAATAAGATAGAAACAGGATGAGACCTCCTGTCTCCTTCAGAGCATCACCCCTCTTCTCACAGATCTGCCCTGCTCTGCTTACACTCTGCTCAGACATCTCAAAGCTGCCCTCATCGTATCTCAGTAAGTTTTTGTCCTGTTTTGTTCTCCCTGATCTCGGGTCAGTGTTCACTTACTTCAGAGAGTCCCATTCCTCTCCATAGAGATTTAACTAGAAAAATGAATATCACTGGCTTCCCTAAACATTCATAGGGTTTTAGGTTCTACTGCATTCTTCTTCTAATTTAGAAATCCTAAAGATTCCAACACATATCTGCCATGATTTTCTCGACCTTCTGTCTTCGATTCCTCAAGTTTTTGTTCAGAATCATCAAGTGGCTCCTTGCCAGAGTTGATGTCCATCAGGCATAGTAGATACAGTGCCTAAAGCCATGATTCTTCTGTGGCTGGTGAAATTGTTTACATTTCTTTCAAGGTCAAAAGAACAAAATGAATATAATACATACTAGATTATATTTGTCTTTATAACTGCAGTTATAGGTTTTAGTGTAGTTCACAGAAAAGGGGCCTGTAAAGGCTAAAGTATCCAGGGCCCATAAGAGGTGAATGTGTTACTGCTCTTTCCTTCATAAACAGCACATTTAACTGGAATAGGACATTGCTGAGTACAGAGCACTTTCTTAATCTCTGTCCCAATTGTTTCAAGGCAATTCTGTGAGATTTGACAGGGAGTTATTATCCCTGGGATAAGGAAATTTATTGTGAAAAGTCTGAAATTAAAGGATATTTTGTAATATTATATTGACAGCAAGTAGAAGAAACAGGAAATAATCACATCATTTTTTTCTAATTATCAGCATAATGTCTAGGCTTCATCCACAGAAATAAGGAACACTTTTCTTACCTTGAGATTCAGATTTCTTCCTCATCTGCCCTTAACCTTTCAGCTTTTCTGGCTGCTCTTGATAGCAGAGAGGTCTATTTGTTTGAGTATTTGCTCATGTTCTTCTCCACTTCAATGTTCTCTTAGTTCCACAGATCCACTCTCACGGGCCTTCCAATGTCACCTACTCACCTGCTTCTTTCCTGTCCCAACTCCTTCCTCCTCTAACCCACAGCCCTCCGTTCAAGTCACCGGGCTTCTTGCCCTCATTTGCTTTGCATCATAGTTTGAATTCAGTTTTTCTCATGTTAAACATCTGTCTGGGGTTTTCCTTTCCTGATAATGAGCTCCTTGAGAACAGGGACCACAGCTTAACAATAGTCACAAGTCAGCATTTCTCTGGCTCTGTCCCCACCCTGTTAGCTTCTGATTACCTCTCAGATTTGTATTAGGTTAGTTGAGAAGTCTCTCTAGGACATCTCATGTGTGCCTCAGACAAGACCTCTTGATTACTCTAAACACAATCTCATCCTTTCATTCCATTGGTCTCAAGAGCTCCAGAGCCCAGCAGAAGGATTGGTATTATTGCTGTCCATCACAGTGCCATCCTGCCTGTTGCATAGGGGTTACTGCTGCTGAATTTCAAGGATGCTTTTATCTGTCTCATGTCACTGCAATATCTTCTTTTTGTAGAACCCATAAGCACTTATGCCATCTCTGCAAGAAGCTGCTCACATTTGTGTGTAGATGCATTACTCTTCTACCATCCCTTGAGAGTCAGAGTGCAAAGAATCTAACAGTTTTACATTTTTCTTGCATCCTCTTGCTCCAGGTATCAGTCATGTGTCCAAGAAGACCAGATGGTGAGCAACTTATATAAATGATGATACTAAGAATCATTTTGAACCCTAGTTTCTTGCACTATACAGTAAGTTACTGTCCTATGTGAAAATTCCTGCCTCAGTTGGATGTTTTGTGGCTAGTTTACCAGTATTTTGTTTTTGTCTGTCAATCCACAGTTTGATCCCATGGTAAGCTTCTGTTTTGACAAAAATATTTAATCTTGCTGATTCAGAGAGCCCTGTTTCTCACCGTTCCAGCCTTGCCAGCAGTCTATGGCCATGTGCTAACTTACATTAAGAGAATCTTAAGTTCTGATCCCATTAACAAGCCATTAGCCCAGCTTAAGTCCATCTTAGACACAAGTCTAGGTTACCTGTGCACTAGGACAAATAAGGCAATGTTCACCTTTATGTGCCTGCAGGACATTAGCTTAGATCCAGTGATAGTGAAGCACAACTGGCTGGAAAAGTTACTTCAGAGGATCCTGCATGAATAAAATTGTAAGTGCTATTGAAAGTGAACAGACTTTATTGTGAATCTACACAAGCAAAGCAAATTTTATGAATGGAAGCCATTCTTTCCAAGGATTTATATATTTCAAAATATTTGTAGATACAGCTATCCTGAAAATTGCTTCCATTCTTCATTCACTCAAAGGACACCTGGCCAATGCACAGAAGAGCTTCAAGCTGCCATCTTAGGAACACTGTAGCATTTGTGGAGAATAATTTTCTGTCCTGCCTTACATCCACATTTTGTATGAATGAAAGCAGAAGCTACTTCTCTCATGTATTTTTCAAGTTATCACAAAGAAAGGAAACTCCCTCTCTCCTCACCACACTTAAACACCTCAAAATGATGCCTGACATTTCTTTAATAATTAGGGATAAATCTTTTCACTTAAATCTGATATCAGTTAAGCTTACAAATAAATCAAACTTGCAGTCATTCTTTGGAAGGAAAGATACTGGCTTCATTTAATCCTGAAGTATTAAAGACTGATTTAGAATATAGGGTGAGAGTAGGCAAAGACTAGAAAACAGAGAAGTTGGTCACAGAGGAGTAGGTAATATAAAGAGGGCTTACGAAATGTCTTAGATAAACAGTTGTGTCACCATTCTGCCACACGACATTTCATGTCCATGGCGTAACTGATCAATTGATCAATTTCTCTTGCAAAGAGATGAAGCAGGATATTGGGTGTGTTTATGATTTTATGGCTCACATAAAGTTAACTAATATTGCATCTTTCCCAATTCAGCTGTTAATACAAAAAGTCGCAGTTTGTTTCACTGACTTAAGGATCAAGCCCAAAGTTAAGAAAAACAACTGTGATAGAGATATTATCTTAGTTACGTAATCTTGACCCCAAAGGATCAGCAATTTGACAGCAGGATTCTATTAAATAAGAGATTCTTTAGGTGTCTGGCAAAGCGCCTTGCACACACTGGCTGCTTAAATTAATTTAATCAATTTATCTTGCAATTTTGAATGAAAAAAATGAGTGAAGGATGTGTGTGGAAAGTCAGGCTGGACGAGGTGGCTTGAGCTGGTTGAGGGGTTAACTTCAGACCCTCGGTGCCTGAGAGAGGAATCTGAGCACGGGAGAAGGACATCATCTCTGAAAGCAGGGAGCAAAGACAGACTTCATCCACTTGGAACTCTCAGAGCTGTCCTCTCCTGTGCTCCTTGCACTATTCACAGTGACTCAGTGGTGACTAGCCCTAAGGGTGATCTCACTAGCAGAAAAAAATATACAGCAGTTTTCCTACTGGAGTACTGAGCCAGCAGGAAAATAAGTACCCCAAATATCTATCTCTGGTTCCCTCCGTTCATTCCAGGCAACAGCTTCTGGCACTCTGAAGCATGAGAGGATTTATGCATAGGCTTAAAAGTGTCACTGCCCTCAGTGCTGAACTGGGAGAGAAGAAAGACCTTCTGAGAAGGCGCCCAAGGCAGCTGGTACAGATGCCCCATTTGGAGAAAGAGAGATACCAGAATCCCATCTAGGGGAGCTGGTCTGCCAAGGAGAAGGACGTTCCCATTTGAGTTTAGAAACAAGGAACGGGTGGAGCAGGAGCCTCAGGCTTTAGGACAAATGGGATGGATCAAGAGGTGGAGGTGGGGGAAAGAATACACAGCATCATTAAAACACACACAGAGGATAAGGGGGGAAAAGGGGCATTACGATTAGCACACATAATGTAGTGGGGCGGGACACATAAAGGCAGTATATACAGAGAAGACAGGTAATGATTCTATGGCCTCTTACTATGCTGATGGACGGTGACTATAATGGGGTATGTGGGGGGGACTTGATAATAGGGGGAGACTAGTAACCATAATGATGTTCAAGTAATTGTACATTAACGATATCAAAATAAAAATAGAAAAAATAATAAAAGAGCAGGTTGCTTGAAAAAAAAAGCATACACAGAACTCTACAGACAGAAAAATAGGGAGGAATGAAAATCAGAAAAGATACTACCTTTGTCCTGGCCTTTCCTGGAGGAGGCAGCTCCACAGGCTGTGTCTTTCCCAACACAGGGGGAGCCATCATAGGCAATTCTCCCTTGTAAGGCAGAGACTGTCACAAGGACAGCTGAGCAGCAGAGTGGGTAGCCTTTTCTCTCTCTGCTTTCAGTGCATGAAGGAAGTTAAAATAGTTCAAGCTCTGAAAGCACTGGCTGTGTCACAGAATCTGGATTATTCTTCTCAATACCTTAACCTAGAGGGGTGTCATTCTGCAATGCAGGACACTTTATGGAAAGACAAGGACAATTTTCCAAGAGACACTTATAGAATGAACAACAGCATGTATTTCATTAAAACCTCTCCCATGATCTCAGGTGCAGTAATGTGCCTTCTCTGCATTAATTTTTTCTGTGATTCTGAAGACTCTTCTAAGAGCATCACTTCAAGAAAGAACAATCAGCAGAACCAATCTGAAGCCGTCTGTGCTTAGGCAGCTGTGGACTGGGTCAGGCACTCAGGGGAAATTGGCCCACTTCCCTAGATTCCCTGAAGTCCCTGCCGGAAGTCAAGTTCTGGACTTACTAACCTCACAGTTTCTAGTTAACCAGAAAGTTAAACTTAGCAAGAGGCACCAGGGATTCTCTCCAGGATAGTATTTGAAGTTTCTAAATTAAGGCAAATGTACAACGCTTACGAGAGACAATTATTAGGCTTGGGGGATTGGAAAAGGGGAGAATAAGAGAGAGATTTCAAGAAAAACCTAACTACTGAAAAAATGA